AAAAAAAAAAAGGAACAGTCCAGAGGTCTAAGTCCAACTATAGCAACACTAGCAAACATCATTAAAGATATTATAACTTTAAATAATTGAATTAATAAAACTCCTCTCGATAACCTCCACATCCATACCAGTACCAAAAAAATAAAAATAAAAATAAAAACAAAAGAAAAAAAAACAATCATACTGACATAATAATAATTAATAACTAGCCTTTTCCTTTGATCAATAGATCAAAATACAGCTTCATACCCTATTCTGGTTTAGTGTTTTATATTAGAGGCGAATGTATATCATAGCCTTAAAAAAAGCAATCATACTGACATAATAATAATTAATAATTAGCATTTTCCTTTGATCAATAGATCAAAATACAGCTTCATGCCCTATTCTGGTTTAGTGTTCTATATTAGAGGCGAATGTATATCATAGCCTTAACATACAATAGTTATGGAAACGAAAACTTGGACTGAATCTAAACATGGTTTACGAAATGAAACACTGAATAAAATAAAATAAAAAAAAAATATTTAAATAGAGATTATGCCGGCTAAACTTTTCCTCTGTGAATTCTCCTCTAAAAGTTCACGCATGTTTGTAAGACAAGGAAAATAATCAAAGGAGGTCATTCACCTTCTCTTCCAGGCCAATAACTTCGGCAGCCAATAGCTTTGCACGTTCATCAGCTGCATTACATTCCAGCTGGGCATTAGCATATTCTATTTTTACAGCTTCAATTTGCACCTACACATGATAGGACTTGTATGGTTGAGACAATTCTATGCACATCACCACAAAATGTGAAACAGTGAAGAAGCTTATGAAATATGAGAGAAAATGTGAAACAGTGAAGAAGCTTATGAATATGAGAGAGAAAATAGTAGCAGCTCTCTAACAGACTACAAGATGATACAAGAATTTAAAAGATAATATAAGGCTATGTTAATATGAGGTCAAAATCAAGACAATCCAGTGTACTGGAAGGCCATTGATAAATTAATTAAAAAAACATTCATATATGAAGGTTGTAAGGCAAAACACATCATGAAGTAAAACTAACACAAAAGTACAGGAAAGCAGCCTATAATATAAGAAACTAATATGAAAACAGCAATTTATAAACACTTAACAATACTAGAATCTGCAGAATGTCTATAGACTAATATGAGGCAAACGTCAGAACAGAATCAGCATTGTCGAAGGCCATTGATTAAAAACACTAAAGAGAAGATTATAATATGCTGGTCAACGCATAAAAACAGTAATACAGAAGAAGAAGAAGGAAAAAAAAAAAAAAAACATTTCATGTTAAAGAAAAGCGGCTTAATTCTTCTAAAACTAACCATTTGAGCCTTGAGTTCTTCGTCTACTTTTTCAAGCTCGAATTTCAGCTGGTTGACGACGACTCCCTGGGAAAACAAGGAAGCAAAACTATAAACACTGTTGATCCACGAGGGAAAGAATAGAATTTGAAAGAGGACACAAAGCTACCAAATTCACTGTGCAAAAAATAAATAAATAAATAAATAAATAAATAAATAAGTAAAGGTATAATGAAAGTAAAGGAGAAAGAGATACCCAATATTTGAATAAGAAAAATAAAAAATTGGTACGTGAAAAGTGAATCCTATGTACCAATGCTTATATCTTCTACTAATTAAAATAAGCATATTCATTAAAAGACACATTTATGTCCTTCGGTCACTAAAGGTGGATATGCGATACCATATAACTCGGAAAAATATTTTAAAAAAAATACAGTCGAAAACAAGTTAAATACCATTTACTTCATCACAACAAATTATTGACACAAACTAACCTCAAATGTGATGTACCTAGCACAATACTATGGCGAATTGAGAAAATATTTACTGCTCATGCATCACTCTTCCGCTTTGTTTAAATAAATATCTAGAGGAAAATATTAATGCCAGTAATGGAACTGTTATCTTTGTCCTCCATAAATGTGCATCTAAGTTCAAGAAGTTATGTTAACTTTAGAAAATATATGAACCACTTTAATTCGATGCAAGGTACTACAAAGAACCCGTGGACTTCAACGATAGTACATTTGGGCAACAAGAGAGAGGAAAAAAAAATGAAATCAGCAAATAAATAAAATAGCACCCAAATTAAATATAGTAGACAGAGGACTACGAATCTTTTTGGACCAATAAAGATGCAGGTAAATTCAAATACAATAAATGTCTAACAGCAATTACAAACAAACAATTGCCATTACAAAAAATACAGGTAGCTTTCCAATCCTAACATAAGTTCTAACCTGCTGATTAAAGCTATCCGTTAAAGCAGAATTTTCAGATGCTAAGGACTCTGCTAAAGACCGTGAAGCTTCAAGAGCACGTTGAAGTGAGAATTTCTCTTGCGTTAAATCTTCAATATGCTGCAAGATGAACACCAAAAAAAGAGGTGGTTAATTAGCATTTCATTCACTAAAATAATTTCTGAGAAGCTTTTTCTTACACTGCAACAAGCAATCCATGAAATGTGCCAAAATATTTATTGCACAGAACCATAGTCGAATCCCATCCAAAGAACTTAATGAAAAGTAACTTCCATTCCCTGGATGGCCAATACATACAATTCATGTGCAGTGTCTTGAAATATAAACCGACTCTATGGTAAAGCAGTATTAGAAAGATTAGTTGAACCTGAATTTTCCATAGGAAATACAGACAGTACGATCCAACCCCAACTCAATGAAGATTTTTCCAAGGGGGACACAGATTATCACATGAATGCCTGTTGTAGTTTTTTAAGCCTCACCTAAACCACGCCAAGTCCAGATGCCACGATCTATTGCCCCAATTTCAACTAGGTATCGTCTCAGAAGCATTCGATACGTGTTATTGCAAGGTTCTAAAACCGCTAGGCGGCGGACTGGAGCATAGCGCCTAGGCGGGGATTAGATGGGGCCTAGGCGGGGTCGTAAAAGTATTAATAAGTTTATGGACATTTATATCATGCATAGCTTACAAGATATATTTTATAATTTGAATTAATTGTATGGTTAAATACAAAGCTTTTAAGAAACATTATGTATTAATTTTTCATAATTATTAACTTTGAGTTTTATAAATGTAAAAAATATATACGGGCGCCTATACCGCCTAATCAGTCTAGGCGTGACTAACTTCGCAACCGCCTACACCGCCCAAACGGCGTCTAGCCCGCTTAGGTGGTGCCTAATTTTCTGAGCGCCTAGAAAGGCCACCTAGACAAAATTCGGAGCTCCCGGGTGTCGCCTAGCGCCTTTAGGGTTTAAGGTTTTGGGTTTCGGGTTTAGGGTTTTATTTGTGATTATACTGGCTAGTTCATTTATACTTTCAGTAGTTAAGAGGATGATTGGCTACATATTAAAAATGGTTTCGATTGATTGGATAATTTTTTTACATTCTTTAACTCAAAATTCAACACAAATTTAATATAATTGAACTCTCCTCAATATTACCAAAATAATTAAATAATACCAATCAATCATCCTCACACATCACATCAACTTTAATTCACTATTCATCTACTCACATAATTTTAACTATCTATCATTTTCAATAACTTGTCTCAGACTCTTACATCACATCGACCTTGATCATTTTCAAAATATTTTTTAAATACAAACTCAAAATCCCACGCAATCCTCCACTCAGTCAACTTTATTTAAAATTAATTCACTTTAACTCGAAATCCAATCAAAACTGATACTGATTTATATCCAATTGCCCCCAAGTCATAAATGGGTCTGCGTAGAACTCATTCCCAAAAGCTAGCTCAAAGGGAGAGGGAGCCCAACCCGCATTTGCACACAATAATAGCCCAGTCGTTAATCAATGTGGGACAAGCAGGACTAATAACACTCGCCCTCACATACAGCGCGTCAATCGGAATGGGTTAGGTCCAGATCCAACATCGCCTCTAAACAAACAAAACCCATTTGGGTGTTCTAATACCATGATAAATGGGCTGTGAAGAACTCATTCCCAAAAGCTAAGCTCATAGGGAGAGGGTGCTCAACCCACGTATAAACAATACAAGCAAGTAACTAATCTATGTGGGACAAAAATAACTTCTAATTAATATTGACATTGGTGTTTGATATATTTTCCTATTTCTTTGATAAATTATTGTTTTTCAAGGTAATAAGTATTAAACATGCTTTCTAGTTCTTATCAGTTGTCCCTATCCCACTAATAACAATGTTATTTGCAAGAAATAAACTTATTGAAAAGAAATAACTGATGTAACTTTAAGAAGTAGGAGTTATCTAGCATAATAAGTGCCAAACATTATAGCCGAATTAAATAAATGATACTTTATTCTGGAAAGCACATGATGCAGTCTGTAAAGGGCTAAAGGCTACCTTCAAGATGGTCAATGAGGGCATCCTGGAAATTTTCATAGACAAATGTTCCAAATAATGATACAACAAGTACAAATGCAAAATCTTTATCATAAATTCATCTTCTGAACAGATAAACATTACAACAGAGGATCTCAAACCAAAACAGCATAAGATCAATGCAGACTATATGGAGTAGTTCGGACAGATAATTGGATGTCACTATATTTTCGATATGCTTGAATTAGCAGCAGTCATCCTATGTATCGGTAACATTATTAGTCAATGTGATTTAACCGTAACTCCAACCATCTATCTAGATATCTAGGTATAACATAACCAGCCAGAACACTTTAAAATTGGTAATATCTTAATCATGCAATCTCAGATCAAACAAAATGCAAATCTTTGAATATCCTAAATTTCTATTGCTGTACTACCTACTAGTTGACTCTCATTTGAATTCAACAGTTAACCAACATAATTAATCTCCAGACAAGAAAAAACAGACATCTAGAAGCATGTGCATCTAATATAAACACGACAAATTAACACAAGTTCACCTAAAAACAGAATATAGTAACAGCAAAGAAGACTCTGAGTTTCATAATCCATCAATAATACAAATAACCAACTGCCAATACCTCCCCTCTACTCCCAACTCCATCCACACACCCAAAATGGAAAGAGGAAGAAGCACCAACCCAGCCTAAGTAAAAATAATAAATGACCGGAAAAGAAAAGAATAATTCAATCAAAGTTTAAAGGTACACAACGATTATGGAACAACAACCTGTAGGGAACATTGTAACACCATGAAAAAGATTCACCAAGAATACGGTTCATTTTCCTAATCATGTAAAATATATATATCCTGACAGATAAATCAATTCACCCAGGAGAGCTAAATATTGTAAGAATAAGAAGATACAACCCGATCGACGAGAATAAAAAAGGGGAGCACATAGAATATGCGTATATATAAGACACTACAACAAAACTTTGGCAACAGAAAAAAGGCAGTCAAAAAGACAAAGAAAAAGGAAAACCTGTTCCAAAGCAGCAAAGTCTTCGTTCTGCTTTTGGGAAAAAAACTCATGTCTCTTGCCAACAAAATTATTGAAAAGGCCAACCCCATCTCCAGGTGTGACTGAAGAGCTACCAGATTGCTGAGAAACTGATGACCCTAAACCATTAACTGGGTAGTCCTTGGAATCTAATTTGGTGTCTTTTTCTTCGCTAAAATTGTCAGAGGATGATGACGGACCTTTCGGGATCTGTATGGAATCAAGAAAGGAGGGACGAGATCTCCTCACAGCTGCAGGTGAAGATCCTGGTGCCTGATTTGGAGAGCTTCGAACATCAGAATTATTATCCAAATACCTATGGCCGGGGGTCCATGGAGATGAATGGTTTGTACTACCCATATAATCAGTAGTTTCACCGAATTTCTTCTCCAGCATATGAGGAAAAGCAGACTGTTTTTGTTCAAGTCCAGCATAGACTATACTCGAGCTAGAACGTAGAGACTCTATCAACCAAAAGGAAGGACCACAGCCAACACATAGAAGCACAATCAACATAAGCTATTAGAAACTTCTGAAAGCATGGAATGAAAGGCATAAATGGAAATGCACGGGCACAAACAAGTTCTGGAACAAACAACAATAATCATACCTTGGTAAGGTGGGGACGTTAGGTTGTTAGCCTCATACCCTCTATTTTCCAACTTGTCCGGCAGTAAGGTGCTGACAGAAGAATTCTTGAGTAAAACTTCAGAGGGGAAAATGGAGATTGAATCAGATCTGCCAGGTAGAAGATCATTGACACGGTCAACAGTGTTATTGGACAGGTAATTATCTAACCCATGGTAGGTGAAGTGACTGGAAGCTGGTACTTCCTGAATAGATCCTACTTGATCCAAAGAGAGGTCATTCCCCGGAACATACATAACTTGAGCTGATGACCGATCATCACCATCCATTCTATTCTCGAAATTACCTTTAGCACTTCTAATTCTAGCAGAACTCATGGGACCAGCACCATCCACATGCTCATTATCATTCAAGAAGAAAATCTCTTGAACAGGTGACCTTATGTCGTTATTCATTGCCGAAAGAGAAGTGTTGGAAGCATTGGTATCCACGGAGGGACCAAAATCACTTTTAATGGAAGTATCTGCTTCCTTGGACGCAACATCTGGAACAACAGCCGGCAGACCCACACGATCTTCTGCTGGTACATCAGAGGTACCTGCTCCATTATGTTCTGTAAGGCGTACAAGCACATTTGCTGATGGTTGTTTCTCGTTTGGAAAGTCTGACGCAGGAGGAGGTTGACTAGCAGCGGTATTTTTTTTAGCCTTTTCTGCAGCTTTCTTTCTGCGGAACTCCTCTAGCTGCATTGTTATTTATACGACAGTAAGAAAGCTACAACTAGAGAAACTAATAACAAATAGCATCAGCAACTGAAGTAAGGCAGTAAACAACTAAAATTAGAAGCACATTTAAGACTTGAGGGCTGTCTTAAACCAAACAGCCAACAAGCTCACATCCAACGAGTTGGCTGAGCATACCGATAATCGTAAAATATCTTCAATTGAAGCTAACAGTGGATTAAGATTGTTGAAAAAGCAACACCCTATATCTATTTTTTCATCCAATTCCCATTCCTCCCAAGTGTTCCTTACCTTACACAAGAACGAAACATCACGAAAAACAACACATACACAAGAAAATGCAATGGATAAACTAAAATACCGTCCAAACAAAAGAAATAATAAATGAATAAATAAACAAATACCTTCCTCTTTCCAGCTTCCAAATGCTCTTGCTTCTTCAACACCTGCGCCGATGCCATCCAAAATTTCTAAACACCAAAAGTGCTTACCTTTTCATTAAATTTCAACCCCAGAAACCCCAATAATTCCCCTCAAATTATCAGATCACACATGAAATTCAATATTCATGTACATACACAAATCAAAAACATAAAATAGGTTAAAAAAAATACTCTGTCAATGGTAGCCAAAGATCAACAAAAAAAAGTTGAGCTTAGAGAATAATTATTCCCCTTTTTAAAGAAAATTAGGGGTTGAAGATGGCCGATCTAATGGGGGGTAGAGAAGGGGGAGGGGATTTCTTCTCCCTTCAATATTTTTTTAATTTCGTTTAAATCTCCTCAATTTCTCTCTACATACATACGCTTTGCCTGTAAATTTTCCGTTACTGTAACGTTTTCATAATCACATCGAGTCGAAAGCAAAAGTCGTGAGTGTGGCGGATTATGATATAGAAGAAGTCGCTACGGGAGGACGAGCGTTTTTCATAATTAGCGTGAGGATGTACAACATTTGTTAGTTGTGACGTAGGTAAAAAAGCTATCAGGGGGACACGTGTGGGGGGAATATATAACGTGGAATTTGTTTAGTGATCATAGATACTAGTACACACCCGTGTATTACACGGGTGCTTGCTAATTTTTTCTTAAAATTTAAAATTAATGAGAAAAAAGTAGTTTGAAAATTTAAATACCTTTTATAAGAATATATATATTAGTATATATTTATTATTTCACTTTTTATTTGTGCAACTTACTTGTGTTATATTATACTATTTTTTTTGGCAAAATGGCAGGTTTTAACACGACCTTTACGTGTTTGGCAATTTAATCACGACTTTCAGACTTTGTCAGAAAAATACATGACCTTTACATTTTTGGCAAATTGATACACGCCGTTAACGGCCGTTAACGGAAAGCTGACGTGGCGTCATCGACATGTGGAAAATTGTGACACGTGGCAGGCTTTAGAATTGCCACGTCAGCTTTCCGTTAACGGCCGTTAACGGCGTGTATCATTTTGCCAAAAATGTAAAGGTCATGTATTTTTCTGACAAAGTCTGAAAGTCGTGATTAAATTGCCAAACACGTAAAGGTCGTGTTAAAACCTGCCATTTTGCCTTTTTTTTAACTTACAATATATAACTATATTACATATAAATATATCAATTAAAAAATAATTTTATTTTTCTAATGAATTTCAATAAATATTATTATTTTTTATTATTATAAAGATAAATATAATTTATTTATTTCATATATATACAATATGGATGTCAAATCGAAGATCATCAAAAAATGATTAATTTGATATATTATATATGTAAAACCGATAAGAAATACAAAAGTTATCAACTTTTGAAATACATTTATAATTCAATAGCTTATTGAAGGAAACAAATCAAAATTCAGGGATATATTAGTCACTTAGTGCCTCACTATGTAAAATTACAAAGAATTAAAGGGTTATATTAGTAAAAGTGATATTAAAATACCTAAATTAGTTAAATAATATTTATGGAATATTCGAACCTAGATTATTAATTATTAATATATCAATATTATTTATCCAAACCTAATTACGAAGCATGATTCTTCGCCAAATAGGATTCCGAAGCACCAGAAGCAGTCATGTAGGCTCAACGCATTCTGTAATTATATATAGGGAGGATGTCAAAACGGGCCAGCGGCCCGCGGGACAGGCCGACCCGCAACTCGCAATAAACCCATCGTTTGGTGTGGCGGGACGGGCCTCTAAATGGCTAGCCCGGCCTACCCCCGTCACGGGCCGCAGGCTAAGCAGGCTGGCCTACTATTGGAAAAAAATTATAAAGATAAGTAGCACATATTATGGCCCAACCCAACTCTCCGAGTTTTATCCATCTTTTTTGTACTCTTTTTCTGTCCAGCCTATATCACTATTTTTTTTTATTTCCCCTTCTTATTTTTTCTCTCTTCCCCAGGCCCATCCACTATTTCCATTGTCTTCTCTCCTCTTCTCTTTTCCCAACGGCTGAGTCCACACTCACTTCCCAAATACAAAAAAGATTGACAGCGAGAAGGCGTTAATCACTCTGAATCGGCGACCTCCGTTTAGTTTGAATTCGACTTCAACCCACGTTAATCGAGCAGGCTTTCATCCTCCAACCCGCTCTGAATCGCAATTCCTTCAATTGGACTCCTTGATGTCTGCCCGAATTCGATCCACATCAACAGAGAGCTTGTCGCCGACTCGCCAAGCCCTCGCCTTAAATCTCCAGCAAGGACGAGAGAGATGTCTCTTGTTTGGGTTCAAGTTAAGTGGTCTTCGGTGATTTGAATGAATATTTTTTGAATTCAACTCAACAGGGTTCGATTTGCGACTACGATCTATATGCATATGTT